AGCGGCCGATTCGACGGCGGGGCCGCGGCCTGCTGCGGCTGCAAGTACTGCTGAGACTGCTGAGAGTATTGCTGCTGCGGTTGAGGGTACTGCTGCGGGCACTGCTGCTGCGGGTGATGCTGTGCGTGCGGCTGCGGCTGCGAGAGGGTCGCGTTGGCAGAGACGCCCTGGTGGGGCGGCACGGGCGGCGGGTCGTCCACCGGGAAGCTGTTGAGGTGCAGCGGCGGCGGGACGGGGAGGTCGTGCTGGTCCTTGTAGTCGTGGTAGTTGCCCGGAAGGACGGGCACGTTGTCGTACTCCGACATCTTGGAGGAAATGGTCGCGTCCTTCCTGAGGGACATCCCGGCCCTCGCGTGAGACTCGGCGGACTAAGGAAGCTCAGGAGGCTCGTCCAGAACGGCGCCTCTCGCCCAACTCTCCTTCGGGATCCTGCAGGGACCTTTGCCTCAGGGTCGCTGCGCCATCGGAGAGGGCACGGGCCGCTTCGTCGTCTATCGGGAGTTCCTATTCTCCAGGGTCCTTCAATCCTTCAAGACTCACTCCTGGGGGTTGAGAGGTTCCTCCGCCGCCTGGAAGGGAGGAAGGAAAAGCGACGTTATTGCCTCGAGGGAAGCAGGTCTAAAGGGTGGGATTGGAGGGTCTGGGGATATGTCTGTTTGTCTGTCTCCTCACCTGGATCTCTCTCTCTCTCTCTCTCTCTCTCTGTCTCTGTCTCTCTCTCTCTCTCTCTCTCTCTCTCTCTCATTCTCTCTCTCTGTCTTCTCTTCTCTCTCTCCTCTCTGTCCATCTCTATCAACCTATCTATCTATATTTCTCTATACCCTCCATCCCTCCCTTAGCCCCATACCTATCCCCCTCTTCCTCTCTCGCTTTCTCTCACCCTTTCTCCCTCCCTTGTCCACCTTTCTCTCTTTCTCCAACCCTTCTCCTCTCTTCCTCGTTTATCTCCCTGTTCCTATTCTCCCCTTTCCTCGCTTACCTTCCCTATCTTTCTTCTCCCTCCTCCTCTCCTCCCCTGCCCTCACCTTCTTCTCTCCCCTCCCACCCCTTCCTCCCTGCATATCCCCCTATCTCTCTCTTCCCTTCTCCTTTCCCTCCCCCTCCTTCCCTTTTTCCACGTCCCTCCCCCTCTTCCTTACCCATAATCCCTCTCCCTCCCCTCTCCTACACGTTCCTCCCTCCCCTCCCCCGTTCCTTCCCTCTCCCTCTCTTCCCCCCTTCCCTTTACCCCATATTTCCTCTCCCTCCCCCCTCCCTTCCCTCCTCCCCTCCCCCCTCCCATTCCCTCTCCATCTCTTCCCCCCTTCCCTACCCATATTTCCTCTTCCCCCTCCTCCCTTCCCTCCTCCCCTCCCCCCTCATTCCCTTTCCCTCTCTTCCCCCTTCCTACCCCATATTTCCTCTCCCTCACCCCTCCTTCCCCTCATCCCTCTCCCTCTCTTCCCTTCCCTACCCCATATTTCCTCTCTCTCCCCCTCCCTCCCTTCCCATCTCTTCCCCCCTTCCCTACCCCATATTTCCTCTCCCCTCCCCCCCTCCCTTCCCTCCTCCCCTCCCCCGCGCATATCCCCCTCCCCTTCCCTCCCCCGCGCATTCCCCCCTCCCTCCCGCATTCCCCCCCTCCCCCCCTTCCCCGCGCCACCCGCCTTCGGGGCATAAACAAGGTAAACCAACTCGCGCCATAAACCCCACTGTTGCCCAAAGCTTCCCGGGAGTAAACCGACGTGGGCTGTAAACCCCCTTGTGTTGAGGGCGCGGGGGCGGAGGCGAGGCCGTGGGCGTGATCGGAGTCGTCGTCGGCATCATCGTCATAATCACAAATCCATCAGCATCATCAAAACATCATCACAACATTAATCGCATCATCAACATCATGATCATCATTATCATCTTCATAATCATCACAATCATTATCATCAGCATCATCAACATCATGATCATCATTATCATCATGATCATCACAATCATTATCATCAGCATCATCAACATCATGATCATCATTATCATCGTCATGATCGTCATTGTCGTCATTATCACCATCATGATAACTGATTCACTGATCTGATGACATGATGATGACGATAGATGATGATGATGATGACGACCGAATGGTGATGATGATGATGTGATGAGATGAATGATGATGATGATGATGATGATGATGACGATGGTGGTGATGATGATGATGACGATGATGATGATGATGACGATGGTTGGTGATGATGATGATGATGATGATGGTGACGGATGATGATGATGATGATGATGATGGTGAATGTGGTGGTGGTGATGATGATGATGATGATGACGATGGTGGTGGTGCTGACTTAATCTGATCAATCGTTGTATGAAAGAGCTCGACTAATATTTTAGGCATTATCATCACATTATTGGCATAGTTGTCATCATTACTATCATTATCATCGTTACTATCATATCCTAATATCAATATCGATAACTAGGACGATTTTCCCGTAGCATATCAGACCGGCAGCCGGGCGGTTTGTGCCAAGAATGGCGCCTGAGTAATTTCCACATTTATGCTTCTCTGACACCAACTTCAGCATCCGTAAGATAAGTATTTATAAGTATACGATAAGTAACGAATAAGTATAAGTAGACGATATAATAAGTATAACGACGTATAAGTATAAGTAGACGTATAAGTCATATAAGTATAAGTAGGACGTATAATCATAAGTATAAGTAGACGTTATAATCATAAGTAAAGTAGACGTATAATCATAAAGTATAACGTATAAGTATAAGTAGACGTATAATCATAAGTATAAGTAGACGTATAATCATAAGTATAAGTAGACGTATAAATCATAAGTATAAGTAGACGTATAATCATAAGTATAAGTAGACGTATAATCATAAGTATAAGTAGACGTATAATCATAAGTATAAGTAGACGTATAATCATAAGTATAAGTAGACGTATAATCATAAGTATAAGTAGACGTATAATCATAAGTATAGACGTAATATAAGTAGACGTATAATCATAAGTATAAGTAGACGTATAATCATAAGTATAAGTAGACGTATAATCATAAGTATAAGTAGACGTATAATCATAAGTATAAGTAGACGTAATATAGTAGGTATAAGTAGAGTCGTTAATCATAAGTATAAGTAGACGTATAATCAAGTAGACGTCATAAGTATAAGTAGACGTATAATCATAAGTATAATAGACGTATAATCATAAGTATAAGTAGACGTATATCAAGATAAGTAGACGTATAATCATAAGTATAAGTAGACGTATAATCATAAGTATAAGTAGACGTATAATCATAAGTATAAGTAGACGTATAATCATAAGTATAAGTAGACGTATAATCATAAGTATAAGTAGAATTATAAGTATAAGTAGACGTATAATCATAAGTATAAGTAGACGTATAATCATAAGTATAAGTAGGACTATAATCATAAGTATAAGTAGACGTATATCATAAGTATAATAGGACGTATAATCATAAGTATAAGTAGACGTATAATCATAAGTATAAGTAGACGTTATAATCATAAGTTAAGTAGACGTATAATCATAAGTATAAGTAGACGTATAATCACGTATAAATCATAAGTAGAGTATAAGTTAGACGTATAATCATAAGTATAAGTAGACGTATAATCATAAGTATAAGTAGGACGTATAATCATAAGTATAAGTAGACGTATAATCAGTAACGTATAATCATAGACGTATAATCATAAGTATAAGTAGACGTATAATCATAAGTATAAGTAGACGTATAATCATAAGTATAAGTAGAATAAGTATAAGTAGACGTATAATCAGTAACGTATAATCATAAGTATAAGTAGATCATAAGTATAAGTAGACGTATAATCATAAGTATAAGTAGACGTATAATCATAAGTATAAGTAGACGTATAATCATAAGTATAAGTAGACGTATAATCATAAGTATAAGTAGACGTATAATCAAAGTATAAGTAGACGTATAATCATAAGTATAAGTAGACGTATAATCATAAGTATAAAGTAGACGTATAATCATTAGACGTATAATCATAAGTATAAGTAGACGTATAATCATAAGTTATAAGTAGACGTATAATCATAGTATAAGTAGACGTATAATCATAAGTATAAGTAGACGTATAATCAGTAGACGTATAATCATAAGTATAAGTAGACGTATAATCATAAGTATAAGTAGACGTATAATCGACCAGTATAAGTAGACGTAATAAGTAGACGTATAATCATAGACGTATAATCATAAGTATAAGTAGACGTATAATCATAAGTATAAGTAGACGTATAATCATAAGTATAAGTAGACGTATAATCATAAGTATAAGTATAAGTATGAAAGGCTGAAGCATTAGCAAAAAGTAAAGCATAATAAGGTATACAATCATAAGTAGAAATTAAGACAAACATTATCCTGAGTAAACATAAGACAACTCATACTCATAAGTAAGAGTGTGAAGCATCAGGGCCATTTCACTTTTTTATTCACCTTACAACATGACATATCGTGATGTGCTGACTCATCATCATCAAAGGAATCTTGCCATTTGACACTCATCTTGTGCAGTGACTTCGTTGGCAAGAGGTGATAAATGTGGCATAATCGAAGCAGAGAAGGAAGAAAGAGAAGAAGAAAATGATTTAAGATTATTCCCAATTTCGAAAATGTTGAGTCTTTAATTCCAGGAAAGATTTATGATTGAAAGTAAAAAAAAATCTATTAAAAAAATTGAAATGAAACCGTTGCCAAAGCCTGTCATCAGAACCCGCTGGATTTCATTCACTCTAAAGAGAAAGACATTCCGAAGTAAAAAAAAAAAAAAAAAAAAAAAAAAAAAAAAAAAAAAAAAAAAAAAAGGACAGACGAGGACAGAGAGAGAGAAAAAAAAGGAAGACAGAGGACATTCCTCGCTTCATCAGAATTGCTTCAAGTGCCAGCGTCTGCCGTCAGAGCCGCCCTCATCCCAGAGAAAAGCAAAAAATGGGAACTGCTCCTAACTCCCCATTCCCAATTCCATTCCCAGAGGGCGCCCGCCGACAGAGCCCGACGGAGGCGCCCCAGCGCGGCGGCGTCGGGACCCGAGGCGGACGAGGCCTGAGGAGCCGGGTCGTGCCAGGGACGTGGTGGGAGTGGTGGGACGTGGCCTGGGACGTGGCTCCTGGACGTGGCCTCCTGGGAGCAGCGTCTTCGACCCGGAGATGGACAGGACACGCGCTGCCAGTGTACTTGTGTGTGTGTGTGGTGTGTGTGTGTGGTGTAGTGTGTGTGTGTGTGTGTGTGTGTTGTGTGTGTGTGTGTGTTGTGCCTGTGTGTGTGTGTGTGTTGTGTTTGTGTGTTGTGTTTGTGTGTGGTGGTGTGTGTGTGTGTGGGTTGTGTGTGGTGCCTTGTGTGTGTGCGTTGTGTGGCCTGTGTGTGTGCGTGTGTGCTGTGTGTGTGAGTGTGTGCCTTGGTGTGTGTGTGCCTGTGTGTGTGAGTACCTGTGTGGTTGCCTGAGTGTGTGTGTGTGCCTGTGTTGTGTGTGTGTGTGCCTTGGGTCATGTGTACCTGTG